TTATTTTTTTTGACCGTTGAGATCGAACGGTCCAAATTAAATAACCGTTGAGATCGAACGGACTGTGGGAAGCCAGGTGGTTTCCCAAAGGTAACTGAAAAAGTTTTTTGTTTTTTTTTTTTTTTGATTTTGTGTCGGCGACGCGCCCTCACGCGTGAGTGGGGTGCACGCGCTTGACACAAAAAAAATTAAATATTGCCTGACGCCAGGCTGATGTCAGTGATGACGTCACATGGCCTCAAGCTCTCGGGCTGGCAATTCTCCACGGGCCTGGAGCTCGAGCCTCCACCTTCACTCGGGCTCGCCCACGCTGGAGCTGATCCATCGGGCCTCGGGCCCCTGTTATGTCCCTTGTCCCCTGAGCATTTGCCCACACTGGGCTTGCTCTAAAGGGGTGACTTTGACCGAGGATATGGGTCTTCAAATCATGATTGAGACGCTTGATCAGACTTTTAGTTATAGGTCTGGTAGGGTTTATCGGGGGATGGGAAATGCACGACACAATGACATTGATGCCTCATCTTCAAAGACAGCTTGAAACAACTCGCCACGTTGACGCCAGAAGTTCAGGACTTGAAACGGCAGCTTGGAATCTAAGGCAACCAGATGAGCCAAATCTTACCTTCCAGTTGTTCGATATAGATTTCTGATGTCATCATCTGATTCCCAGTCACATTAGCCATTGGGTTCCCAGCCACTCAATTCAACAAATTCCCAACCGTCCTACCCAGATGACCTTGAGCCCCTTCTTCTATAGCTTTTTTGGTATTAGGGTGGTATATTTTTTTCTTGTTTGTAAGTACATTTCTAAGTGGATGGGAAATGCACAACACAATGACATTGATGCCTCATCTTCTGGAGACAGCTTGAAACAACTCGCCACGTTGACGACGGAAATTGAAGACTTGAAGTGGCAGCTTGCAATCCAGGAAGACCAGATGAGCCAGATCTTATAAACCTTCCAGTTGTCCGATGTAGATTTCTGATGTCATCGTCTGATTCCCAGCCACACTAGCCATCAGGTTCCCAGCCGCTCCATTCAACAGATTCCCAGCCGTCCCACCCAGATAACCTCGAGCCCCTACTTCTATAGCTTTTTTGGTATTAGGGTAGTATAAGTTTTTATTGTTTGTAAGTACATTTCTAAGTATAATATAAATAATAATTAAATTAATTATTTTTTTTTGTTTTAAATACCAAACCATTAAGTTAATTAAAATATCTAATTTAATAATACAATTAATAACTAAGAATAATAAATAACAAAAATAAATAATAAAAAAAAAATTTAAAAAATTTTTGCCCAACGAAAATATGTCGTCACTATGACAACCCACATCGCCCAGGGGAGTGATCCTTAAATGTATATTCTTATCCCTACCTAACACGAGGCCTTTTGGGAGCTCACTGGCTTTGGGTTCCGTAGGAACTCCGAATTTAAGCGAGAAAGGGGCTAGAGCAATCCCATGATGGGTGACCCACTGGGAAGTTGCTCAAGAGTTCCCAACAACAAAACCGTGAGGGAATGGTAAGCCCAAAGCGGACAATATCGTGCTATGGTGGTGGAGCGAGCTCGGGAAGTGATCCGCCCCGGGCCGGGATGTGACAAATTGGTATCAGAGCCAATCCCTGGCCGGAAATGTGCCGACGAGGACGTCGGGCCCCTAAAGGGGGTGGATTGTGACATCCCACATCGCCCAGGGGAGTGATCCTTAAATGTATATTCTCATCTCTACCTAGCATGAGGCCTTTTGGGAGCTCACTGGCTTCGGGTTCCGTAGGAACTCTGAAGTTAAGCGAGAAAGGGGCTAGAGCAATCCCATGATGGGTGACCCACTAGGAAGTTGCTCGTGAGTTCCCAAAAACAAAACCGTGAGGGAATGGTAAGCCCAAAGCGGACAATATCGTGTTACGGTGGTGGAGCGGGCCCGGGAGGTGATCCGCCCCGACTCGGAATGTGACAGTCACCCCAAATTTAACGCTAGTACACATTCCGTTGCGTAAAATTATGCTCGCTGAAATATTTTTACATAAAAAACAAAATAAAAAAACTCGAAAACCAAATATGATAGGACAAATTATGCCCGACGACAACTTTCATCACACAAAGGTTTTTGAAACGAAGAGAAGTCGTCGCCTAAACCTTAAAGCAATGAAATTATGTTGTGGCCTTGATATTCTTGCAAAGAAATTGCTTCGTCCTTTAAAGTTTAGTGCGACGAAGTCCTTTGTCGCCTAAAGTATTTTGCACAACGAAAGGTTTTGGTTTCGTCAGGCAAATGTTTACTTCTCGAATTTTGCCTGAGTATTGAGAAACTTATATGTTACAAATGGTCTTTCCTCGGGAAAACACTTTTTTGTAGCAGTGTGTTTATTGGGCTATCTAGCAACTATCCCCTACTATTTAACTATCTATCCTATCTTCGTACAAAAATACTACTTTTAACACATTTATGTTGTTGGGCTCTATCTCTACTAGAGAGGTGGTGTAAATGTGATATGAAAAATGTTGCAAGTGTAGCGTTACCCATTTTTGTAAGGTATCTCTCTATTTAAAGGGCTCCGTACTCAAAAGATAGTCAAGTAGTTAAAACAATCAATTAGTTAACTTAAAAAAAAAAAAAAAATTATGAAAAGTGTGTTTCATCTTGAGTGAATCCCAAGTTCCTATCCCCCGGTCTCTTCGAGACCCTTGGCTTGTCCTACATCAAGTGGCATCATAGCGGATTTTTATATTTATATTCGAAGTCCCGATGGGCGCATCATGTTCGTTGGTCGTCAAAACTGATTCGGTGTCTAACTCTTTCGCCCAGACAATTATAGATCGTCAGAAAGCTGTGGAAGTGTAGTTTCCAATGCAATGAACAGTGAAACCAAATTTTGTGTGAGTAGATATTCGCAAAACACCACAGTGGTTAGTGCTACTGTGGAAAGAAAAATCATGTATAGTTGCAGGATAAATTGGAGTTCGTTATTTTGTGCTCATATTTTCAATCCTTATACTGTTGGAAAGCACTTCAACAGTCTAGTTTTCAATTCTTCAAGTCTTTCATGTTGTTGCGGAAACAAAATCATTATAATCCTAATTGTATTTGGTTTTCACAATTTTTTTCATTTCATTACAAAGCATATGTACTCAAGGACGGATCCACATAGGGACCAGGGAGGTCCCAGGACCCGTCGGCAATCCTAAATCGTTGCTATAAATTTTCCGAGGACCCCTCATACTCAATCATGAGGTCTGTGTAGGTTGTAGTGGCTGTCTTCTTCTTGGAGAAGATGACCGCGCACGGGGAAGAAAGAAATAGGGACCCTTCCTGCCTCTCTCCTCCTTGCTTCTGCCATGGTCTCATTCATTGGTGCCACCCACTTCTCCTCCAACCTTTCTGTGTCGTCTAGTGAGGGCAGTACATAAGCCCAAACTTTCCCAAATTATTTCAACCATCTTAGTAATTTTTCTTATGGGTGAAGTTTCCTTCATAAGGTTAGTAAGATGGATATGATCTGTCATGGGTTGGTGAAATTTGGTGGTGAAGCTACCATGGCTTCGGGAGAATGGGGAGGGAGGCGGTTAGTGGAGGTATGGCAGCTTTGTTCTTAGTGAGAGAGAAGGTGGATGTTTGGAAACTAGTAAAAGAGAAAAATGGTGTGTTTGGTTAGAAAAATAGTGGGAGTTTGGGGAGAGTTTTATTTGACCGGTGTTTTAATTTGCTATCCACACACCCCTTTTTACTTCATACACACCCTCTTAATTTGCGGCCGTCGGATCGACTGAATTAAAAAAGATCAAATGACATAAATAAATAAAGGGTGTGTGAGACGCAAAAAGGGGTGTGTGAATAGCACACCCCTTTAAATTTAGTGGTTCATATTAGATAATCAATAACTTAGGTACTCCCTAGTAACTTATGAAACCTCGTAATGGACGCTTGAATTATGATTTTATAATTTGTAATATTGTTTTGCATATGATTTTTAAATGAAATGTATTATATTTAAATTTTCAATGTTATTTTTGTCTATAAATTTTTTGACCTTTATAATTGGGACCTTCCGAGTTTAAAATCCTGGATCCGCCACTGTATGTACTACGATTATATGTTTGTAAAAATTCCTAGACATTGTTGTACTTTCAGCTTGTTAAATCATAACATTCTGGAGGCATTTCGTAATTTAATAACAGCAAAGTTATTGCCTTTCACCAAAAGAACGGCTAACTTATTGCCTGCATGTGTCAAAATAGAGTCCATAAATCCAAAGAAATCTACGTCCTTTCGTTGAATTTCAGCTACCGTCCAATACCAAAATTAGCCAAACCTCTGGTCTAACACCAGGACGAATCAGAGGACCAGTCTGTGCATTTTACAAGGGTAAGTGGGTGAAAGGGAATAGTACGTAGGTATGATGTTATTTCTGAGAAGCAGAATCTATCACAAATAAGTATTACTATGCATGAGAATGAGATTCAAGAGTCAGAACATATGCCTTAATTTTCGAAATAATTGTTTAAATCGACGACAAATGAAAATTTTTCTTTTCATTTTACATATGTTACATGACGGAGGTAACATATCCTCTAAAGTCATTCTGTTGCCAACTATGGTCATTCTATTGCTTCACATTATGTTTGGTTTCATTCTTGTCCTGCTATTGTTCGGCAAACTTTATTATTTATCTCCTCTTGTATCGGTTGTCCTCGGCGCTTTGTTGATAAATTAATTTCTTGTTTAAAAAAAAAAAAATACATACATATATATATATATATATATATCCTCTCAAGTCCATGCATTACTAAAAAAGAAGACGAAATTAACCAGTTAGGTTCTTTACCAAGTAACGTACCTACGAGTTAGGAATACTTTTCTAGCAAATTAAAGTTGGGATTTATACTTTTGAACTTCGCTGACTTTTGACTTTTAAGCAAATTTTAGTTCTAAGATCGATTTCTATATATATATATAAGCAAGACGAGAGATGCAAACCAAAGGAAATAGAGGTAAATGATACAGAAAATGGGAAACATGGTAGAAAAGCATTTTGCGTTTTTTCTTTTATTTATTTGCTTAGCAAAACATAGTACATCATCCGCCCAACCCAAACCCAACTTCAACGACAAACCCCAAATTCCATCTGGGACTAAACATTTTGTGTTGATACATGGAGCTTGTCATGGAGCATGGAGTTGGTATAAGGTGGCGACTCTCCTGAAGGACTCAGGTCACAATGTCACAGCTCTAGACTTGGGAGCATCCGGGATCAACCCGATCCAGGTACAGCAACTCCCTTCGTTATCGGAATACGTCGAGCCTCTGACGGAGCTCATGGTGTCACTACCACCAAAGGAGAAGGTAATCCTTGTAGCTCACAGCTTGGGTGGAGCCGTAATATCTATTTTCATGGAGAGGTTTCCTCAGAAAATTGCTGCTGCGGTATATGTGACGGCTTTCATGTCTGGTCCAACTCTTAATTACTCAACTATATTTGCAGAGGTAATGAATTTCGCACACATGGATTCAGTTGCGCTATATGTCCTTAATAGTGCTTTATTACTATGAGTTGTAATTGACCATATGCCGTACCTTATTCATCGTATCTTGTGAATAAAAAATGTGATGAATAGGCATGGGATAACTATATCCCTCTCTATTGGAAGTTCCACAAATAAACTTATTTAGAAGACACCTTGTGTGCATTTTGTAACTTTTTTCAATGACTCAAGTCGTCTATATTGTCGTTCATCATGCATACATCATACTTGCAAAAAAATACACAATAAAAAACCATTAAGGCATCAATCAAATTACATATAGTGAAACAAGTAGACAAATACGATTCTTAATAAAACAATGAAATGGGTACCATTTAGTTCAAAGTCCGTATATATAGTTTTAGATTTGAATGATGTAGAATGATCTTTAACGGAAGACTTTAAAGATAAACAACTAGATCGTTGAAATATATTGGAAATTGGACCCTACAAGAGATTATTTAGATAAACTTATTTGGGTGTGTCTCAGTAAAATGGAACTATATGTGTGTGTCTCTGATCTCTTGTAAATTGTTGTCCAAATCCTACTGAATGAGATATAAAAGGGTAATTAACTAACAAATAATTTTCTTCAAAAAAATGTATAGGTTACCAAAAGATTTGATTTTATGGACTCTCAGTTCAGATATGATAACGGGACCAACAACCCTGCAACCTCCTTTCTCTTTGGGCCTAAGGTCTTGGCGACAGAATTTTACCAGCTCTCACCACCACAGGTAAGTCTTAAAGTGTGTCTATTGCAATAGATAGGAAACCTATTCTGCTCTCTTATTGGTTGGTGATTTATATAATGTGCAGGATTTAACCCTAGGGTTATCATTGGTGAGATTTACTCCTCTATACAATTACGATGTAATAAAGCTCACGAAAGAGAAATATGGATCAGTTCCTAGAGTATTCATCGTGTCCGACCAAGACCATGCGATAGTGTTGGATGTGCAAAACTACATGATAAAAAACAATCCGCCAAATGAAGTGAAAGTGATAAACGGTTCTGATCACGTGGTCATGCTCTCTAAATCTGTGGAGTTGTTCTCCTGTCTCCAAAATATTGCTGAGAAATATTCATAAACACAGACATGCATGGTTAAGTCAGGCATTCTAGCTTGCGCCACATGCACCATAATACTATATATAATATATGTATGAATAATTAAATTAATAAATTAAAGAAAGTTGCTATTTTCAAACCGGCCTAACCAAAAAGAAATAAATTACACAAAACTACTTTAATTATAAAACGAACCACAATATTATACCTCGTATTTTAAACATTGGAATGTCATGACTCATCTTATAAATTTCGGTTATAAAATCCGTCAATATGTTTGTTAACTGTTGACGTGTCAGGACCCACTCCCTCCAATTAAATTGAGAAATTAATTAAATAGTAATAAATTAAGGTTTTTTTAAATAAATTAAAGTTAAATATTAATAAATGATGAGCCCCAGATATGGAGATGTGGAGGCTTGCAGCGACATCACCATCCGCTTTTTTCCTTTACTGAGCGACATCAACATTTCCAATTTTCTATTCCAATTTGAACAGCAACCTGAACAACATGCACACACCCAGATTCTTCTCCCACATTGTACTCTTCTACCATTCTCCAATTTCCTTCGACGCCAATTTCTACTCCTGCAACGGTAGGCACCACCAAGCAGAGACCACTTTAACAGCTTCGAGCGCCTGATTTTTTAAAACAAAATTCGATAAAATTAAGGTTCTCTGTCACCATCAACAACGAATCACCTTCTTCGCGACGCAGCTGCAGCTCAATCCACAACCGGCTTGAGTCGCGAGCACTCAGGAAAAGACCCAATGCTTCAGTTTATTCTAGGAAATTAAGATGCAGCCCGCACAACCAGTTGTCCCAATTATAATCTCCCAACGACTGATGCACCTGCAAACCCTGATCCATATCATTTTCAATGTTTTCCCCAATTTTGAAATCTTATGCCACGTGTGAGCGACGCCGTGAGCTCGGGCCTCCTCGTCCTTGTGGTCCGTACAATCCCCATTTCCACAGAGCTCTTGGGTTTTTCTGCAAACTCCAAGTTGAAGAAAGGGTCGGCGTCGTTGCCGCTATCACGCGAAGTTCCTGATGTGCGAGCTGGGAAATGGTTTGCGTGCTGGTGGACTGGCAGAGGACTTGGTGGAGGCTGTGACGGCGGGAGGTTTTGGAGAAGTGGAGGAGGGGTTTCGAGGGGTTGACGGGAGTAGGCCCCTTTAATTTGGTGCATAAAAACATCCAAAAGCTAGGAATTTTAAGATTACCAAGGAATTTTAAAATGACGGAAATTGAATTGACGGAATTTTGTTTTTAGAATTTGTGAATTTTCATGTTTGGTTAGCCTAAAAGAACAATGGAATTGAATACGGAAATTTTTATTTTTAAGCTCTCAATCATAGAAATTAGGAAATAACAGCTATGTATATGGAATTTAAACTTGGGAATTGGAGATCCCAAATTTCAAGTTTTTTTTCACGCGGAAATTCTAAATTTCTATGTTTATGAATCCAAACAATAGAATTCATGCATGTCAATTTACAAATTCTGACTTTTATCCAAATTCCAAGTTTATTTTCCTCATCCAAACATAGTGTAGAGAAATTGTGCCCTTACTTATTGCTTTGGGGATAAGATAACCCAATCCACTCTCCCCTCTCCAAAACACTCCAGTTTACTCAGACAATTGGATCCAAAGCGAATCTGATAGAGAAGTTAGGCAATAATAGCCTAGCCCAACGCCTGCATATTTAACGTAAGCCACAAGCCACAATTTAAATTATTTAAAAATTATAAAAAATAAAAAACTAATTAAAAAATATAAAAATATAATTTTTTTTCTATAAATACGTAACCATGTCTTTTCACTTTACTTTACATTTCAACATTTTTCAGTACTTTCAACTAATCTTTTATTATTATTTGAAATTAAAAATAATGTTATCTTTTGTTATTTTATAAAATAACAAATGCTAATATTTTAATATTGAATTGTGTAGGCTATGCAATTTCAGAGTGGATATGCACTTGGGCAGTTACTGTTCATTTCAAGGGATTGAGTTGCATATTGTTCAAGGGGGCCTTCCTACACTGGAAGTGCTCTTAGGGGATTGAGTTGCCTATTGACAGAAAATTTAACGGAAGTCTAACGTTGCAACGAATTCATGAGTTAAGGTATGACATTACAATATTTAAAACTTGAGGTATGATATTGTGGTTTGACTCAAAATTAAGGTAATTTTGTGTAATTTACCCAAAAAAAAAAAGTGCACCAAACAAGTATTATACTATTATCCAAATAAGTGAGATTGTTTTTTAAGTAATAAGTGTGGTCGTAAAAATTCGTCGTCCTCAGTTTTGACGAATTTGTACCTACAATACAATCAACACCTTTGATCAATGACCAAAACCTTGCGCACCCATAAGGTGAGGTGGGGGGAAGGGGAAGGGGGAGTTTGGTCAATGGACCTTCGATGCTTAAGTCGGTACGTCTAAAAAAAATGAGTGTGTGTTTAAGACTTGTATGCGTAGCAAAAAAACTTATCAAAATGTGTCATGTGATACTCTAATGCCTTCTCCAGGTTGGTTTTCGACACCTCTTACCCGAAGATGTGGTTAAGCCAATTATGTTGTTGGAGAGATTTTTTTTTTTTTCCTTAGTTATCAGCAAGGTCATTGCGAAAGTCCGATGTTAAACAGTTGCATAATGACATTGTCGAAGTCCTGTGCAAGTTTGAAAAAATATTTCCTCCATCTTTCTTCATAAACATGATCCACATGATGATTCACTTGTCGGATGAGGCAATGCTTGCCGGACCTGCCAACTATCGATGGACGTATCCAATAGAAAGGTATTTCATCTTCAGAAATTTATTAATTCGTGATTAATTGATGATTTAATTAATTTGAATCATAATATTATATTTCTACAGACAACTCAGTGAATTAAATAAAAGTGTATGGAATAGGGACAAAGCCCGAAAGATCAATTATGAAGGCTTGGGTTGTATGAGTCCCTTACATACTGTGCTATGTACCTACAAGGTGTTGAGATGGCATTCAATCGTCCTTAGCGCAATAATAATGGTGGAGTAAGGAAGGAAAAACTTTCTGTTTTTGGCCAAATCGCATGACCCTTTGGTGAACTAGTACTAGGTGAGTCGTTTATCCAAAGGGACATGGAGATAGTGCATTGGTTTGTACTTAACAATTGTGAGCATACCTGAATTACCATGAAGAGTTAATGAAGCAGGAACATCATTCGCATTTATATGCCTAGAAGCACCATCAAGTTTCCTAAGTTTCCTCATTGGTTTTCAAACAAGTAAGTTGTCTTTGTTTTAGTCTATTTTCATAATTGTAATTTCATGTCAATTGCTTCACATTTGGTAAAACTAACATGTTAACTGTTTGTAATAAATTAGGTGAAGAAATTGAAGGAACTGAATTCGCCCGCTTACACTGAGGAATTATACAACTTGGCTATCTGAACCCTAAGCTATTGTACTTAGGTAGTCATGAATATGGCGTTAGGTTTTTGGGGGGCGGCGGTTCGTGATGACAAGTTGTGCACTAAAAATAGAGGGGTACATGTCCTGGGAATGGGCGATATTGCAGATATTGATTTCTATAGCAAACTAACCAATGTTGTGCAATTGCTTTACAAAGATTGTTGCCAATTGATTCTTTTTAAGTGTCGTTGGTTTGATATAGACCCACATAGGAATAGAAGCGTTATGCGAGACGATAGCAACGATGGCCAAACAAATTTTCTACATCGAACCCAAAAGCTAGGAGAGGATGGAAATTGTTCAGAAGATTGACCACAGAGGGATGTATTATATTCTGAACTGAGATCCTATTAACGATGCCGACAACAACTTCGTTGACCAACAGCTCGAAACTTCAATATAAATTCGTGCAGAAACACTTTAGATACTAATATTGTCTAACATTTGACCTTAGTGACTTGCCAATATACAATGCACTTGAGGGCCTGAACAACAATGTTGATGTACCAACCGACGAGGAGGAATGAGATATCAAAAATGATGAAAGTGACGATTGTGACATTTATTATAGTTTGATGAGGATTAATGTAAACTTGTGAATTAATTTTAATAATATTAATTGTATTCTATTTATTTTGTATATATTAAATTTGTAATAAATTAAAGGCTAAATAAAACAAATTAAATAGCACTTATGCTACGAATATATAAAAGGGAACTTTAACGAAAAGCTATCGGTACTTTTAACTTTAACAAAAAACTACATTTTTACACTAAAAAATCAATCCTGGTACTATTCACTTTACCCTTTATTTTGTCCTTATCGTTGAAACTCAAAATTTTCAAACCCTTTCATTAATTTTCCTTATATAAATTTCGTCTCGCAAATATGACATTATAGCGCAAGGTTTTTAATTTCAAAGGTAAGCCAAATTTGGCAGGTTTTAAAATTTTTGGAACTTGCGTGACGAACTAAATCAATTTCTTCGCACAAGTGAATTTTGTGCGATGGATTAATGACACACCCCGATCGAGATCAGGGCATGCTAGCCGTCACGTGGAAGTGACGTAACCATGTGTACACTGCGGAAGCTAAATAAAATAATAGTAAAAATAGTACGAATAAATAAAAAGAACCAGCTTTACACAAAGTAATAACAAACAAGTGCAAGCGTAAGTGTGAACACAAAGTTCAGAGCATGAAGACCTAATGCAGTCCGGGAGAAAACGATACTACAAAAGCATACCCGAAGGTGGTCCTACACTAGTGATAATCTGTCAGATATGCCGGGGAAATCCTCAAGGAAGCCACCAAACGTGCTAGCCAACTAGAACCTGGCGGGGCGCAAAACAAAAGCGTGAGTGGGCAAAAACAAAGCTTTTCAAAAACCATTTCATAAATAAGTTCTAACCCCTCGCCGTAAAACCTGTATACTTCCCAGAAAAATAATATACATATATATCACGCTCGGAAAAATATGCTATGCCAAAACCTCGAAGTAAAATGCAAGTGCTCAAGTAATATCACATCAATGTCAGCCGGAGTCAC